CTTTCATATGTTTTATATATATATATTTACAAAACATACATATATATATGTATGTTTTGTAAATATGGGCACATAGTGGGGTGCCTGGGTGGCTCAGTCGTTAAGCACCTGCCTTCGGCTCAGGTCTTGATCCCAGGGTCCTGGGATCAAGCTCCGCATCGGGCTCCCTGCTCGGCAGGGGGGAAGCCTGCTTCTCCCTCTCCCACTCCCTGCTTGTGTTCCTGCTCTCACCATCTCTCTCTGTCAAATAAATAAAATATTTAAAAAAAAAAAATATGGGCACACAGTGGAACCTTCAAATTGTTTGCTACCAGTCAATAATGAAATAGGTACAGGGATTGAGAGTGAGCATTTGGACGTGGAGCAGTTTGATATTTCCATGATATCTCCAAGTGGGACATGTATCACTCACAGGTTGACCGCTCTGGCTCTTAGTTCCCTTCTCTCCTTGGGGCCCTGGGGATTATCCCTACTTTCTTGCAAGTCAGCTATATATTTATAAGGATGTTTGTTCTCTGTTACCTGGCATTCCTAAGTGTTCTCTTTTAGGAGGGTTTTCAAGTGCTGTTGTATAACCTGCCTAGAAAGAGAAGTGCTCTTTGGTTTTTATATTGGCTTTTAAAATCATTTTAATATAGAGCTCTTTTCCCCCAAAGGAGCTTGAGCAGTCAGCGAAAGAGCAAGACAAAGAGTCGGAGAAGCAAATTCTGCTCCAGGAAGTGGAGAATCACAAAAAGCAGATGCTCAGGTAGGTGGGGCCTGTGCTGGGTCACTTGCTCCTTGGGAGGCTTGTACAAGGGTTTGCCTAACAAACCTGGCTTAATGATTTAATTGTGTCATTTCTACACAGACTGAACGTCCTCTCTAGATCAGTAGTTCTCAAAGCAGGGGCCAGCAAGGGTTGTTGGTAGGTCAAATTGTGTATAGTTTACAAAAGCATATTTACCATTATACTGTATTTTATATTTTTAAGACAAAACCAAAAAATGGTTGCTTTTGTAATACAGGGTCCTTTTTCTTTAAGTGTAATCATTACCAGAGAAAGTCCTACTTAGGAGGGACCAAAATTTAGAAAGCTTTGAATGGCACTTTATCTTAAAAAACGAAACCTCCCAAAATATAAATAAGGTTATGTTACGTTAAATAAAATGGTGGTCACCATTGTAACTGTGTGCTAACCTTTGATTATATAACTGAAGTATGTGCTATTTCTGGGTATTGAGCTGGGGGACTTGCCAACAAAATTGTCTGATGGCATGAAACAGTACCTGTCCCTCCACATTTGACTTTTGTATCATAATCATAAAGAGGTTTGTCGTGGCAGAAATATTTGAGGACTCCATCAACTCTTCCAATCCTCTGGTGGCCAGGTCATTCTCGTTTGAAGCCCCTGCTAGTCATCATCCTCCTGGGTGTTCCCTTCATCCTTGTTAATTACTCTAACTCTGCCATACCTGTATTTGTCTGTGGCTTTGCTTCTGATTTGAATAATTCTCCAGCAGCATCCTTGCTGACAGCAGCTGTGTTTAGAACACCCAGCAACAGGAGGAGACTGACAAAGATGTGGGCATGGTGGTGGCTAGTGTAAGTAGGGAGGGATGTGTGGGTGGCAACGGTGTTAAAGTGCGTGGCTCAGTCTTAATATTTTGTGTCTTGATGGCGTTTGCTTCCCTCGGCCACCAAGGATACTCAGATTATGAACACTGAGTCAAGAGGACCCCTTGTATAAAGCATAGTAACTTACACCAGATAAGATGGGCTTAGCATGGGTTTAAAGTTGAGAATGGCCATTCACGATGTGGAGTTACAGGGGAGAGAGAGAAAGCAGTAAATGAATACTTTGGCAGTTGTGTGTGAAAACTGGTTGTGCTTGCCTGGGTTATCATGCTTATCACACCATTCAGCAAATATTTGTTTGCTTGTTTTTCTCCCTGTAAATGTGAGCCCCTTGAGGGCAGCCACTGCAGCTCACTTATCTCTGTCACAAGGCCCAGCAGAACCCCCTTGCTAATAGTTCGAAAATGTAATTGATTCTTTTTAAACATCAGGTGTGAAATGGCATAGTAGATGCTGTTCCGGTGGCAGAGAGCTCATTTTAATGTTTTAAGCACAGAGGTGCTCTTAGAAAAACACCCTATCAGTTCACGTGCCCTGTGTTTGACTTCATAAATATCTCAGGGGTTAGCACAGTTGCCGTGAACCAGCTGCCTAAGAGTTCTAGTGCTTGAGTTTGATTCTCTGAGGGGCCCAATTAACATTTGTATAGTCCATCAACAAAAGCTGCACTCCCGGGCGCCTGGGTGGCTCAGTTGGTTAAGCGACTGCCTTCGGCTCAGGTCATGATCCTGGAGTCCCGGGATCGAGTCCCACGTCGGGCTCCCTGCTCAGCGGGGAGTCAGCTTCTCCCTCTGACCCTCTTCCCTCTCGTGCTCTCTATCTCTCATTCTCTCTCTCTCTCAAATAAATAAATAAAATATTTAAGAAAAAAAACAAAAAAACAAAAGCTGCACTCCCTAGGGAGCTGTTCATCAAATTTGAGGTGTCTCTCATAAGGGAGATCGGGTAAAGAATGTAAGTAAATCACATCAAACTGGGCCCTGCTAATACATTGTGTTTCTCTTGTTCATGATTGTTCTGGCTGTGTAAAGAACAGCAAATCTTAAAGAAATATTGAGCAAAACCGAAGTGCTGAATCACTACATTGTACACCTGAAACTAATATTACAGTGTATGTTATCCAACTGGAATTTAAATAAAAACTTAGGGGTGCCTGGTTGGCTCAGTCGGTTGAGCGACCAACTCTTGATTTCGGCTCAGGTCATGAGCTCAAGGCTCTGGGATCAAGCCCTGTGTCAGGCTCTGCACTGAGCATGGAGCCGGCTTGAGATTTTTTTCTCTCTCTTCCTCTGCCTCTCCCCCTGCTCTCTCACTCTCAGGCGTGCTCTCTCTCAAAAAAACGAAAAAAACCTAAATAAAACTTTAAAAAGAAAAGAAATATTGAGGAAAACTGCCTTTCTATGATTTTTCTACTTCTCATAATACCTATTGATTGGCTAATGGGCCAGAAACTGTTGTTCTAGGTACTGGTGATCCAGAGATGAGTAAGGCATGGTTCTCAAGAAATGGAACCAACCAGTACGCAAGGCAAAGAGCAGTAAAATGTTAGAGATAACTTGACAGAACAGGGCCTCGTGCGCCCACGGTGAGTTTGAAGTCTGAAGCCATTGCGGGCTGTCAACACAGAAGTGCTGGGGCCAGACTGCTCCCTCTGGCTGCCCTGGAGGGAGAGGGACAGTTACAGGCAGTAGGGCAGTAGGAGAATGTCCCAGAGGCAGCCTCCAGGGTCCAGACCAGAGGTGTTGTGGCCTGAGCTGGAACAGTTGCTGGGGCAACCAAGAAGTGGAAATGGCGGGTGGTGGAGATGGACTCTGTGGGCCACTCCTGGGTGGCCTTCCCCATCACTCCCTTGCCAGAAGGAAGAACTGCTGTGACTTGATCTGACAGAAACTCATGCAAGACCCTTTTGATTCCAGCAATCAGACCTCATGGAGGAAGGCTAATCTCACTTGCAAAATTGCTATCGACAATCTAGAGAAAGCAGAACTTCTCCAGGGAGGAGACCTCTTAAGGCAAAGGTATCTGTCTTTTTGTCTTTCTGGGCCCTGATGATAGAACAGCAGTTGGCAAGGTGCAAAACCCACGTAAGGAACCCCTTCTTGTTTTCAATGTAAAACTGGTACTTAATTTTATTATATAGGTAATATTTTTTAAAGTATGAAAGAAATACATGCTTATTTGTAATAAATTGGTAAAATAAAGAAAAATATTAATGACAAAATGAAACCATACTGTCATTGTGTTGCACACATTTTGGTATATTGCCTCCTTCCACCTTTTTTTTTTCACAAAGTCTGAATCATACTGTATATAAAACTTATTGCCCTGCTCTTCGTCACATAGTATTATAGCACAAAGACTTGCTTGTTGCTTTGGAAACTCTTTAAACAAAAGTTTAAGAGTACATAGTATTCCCCTGTATTAGCTAATCCCCTGTTTGTGGGTGTTTACATTTCTAGTTTGTACTGTAAATAATACACAAGGCCACATCCCAGGACATAAGGCTTTGTCCACATTTTGGATATTTCCTTTGGAGAGTTTCCCAGGGATGAGATTATTGGGCCAAAGACCTAAATGTTTCTAAGGCTCCTAATATGTATTGCCAAATTGCTTTACAGAAGGTAGCAGCAGTTTGCGTTCCTACTAGCAGTCTTCAGGAGTGTGGTGTCAGCGTACCCTTGCCGGTGTTGACTGTGATCATTGATATTTAAATAGATTTTATTTTGATAGATTAAAAAGATGGGATCTCATTTGACGATGGGATGTCAATGTCAACAAGCCTCCTCTCACTCTGGACTTTTAGGAAAACCACCAAAGAGAGCCTGGCCCAGACGTCCAGTGCCATCACGGAGAGCCTCATGGGAATCAGCAGGATGATGTCCCAGCAGGTCCAGCAGAGCGAGGAAGCCATGCAGACTCTAGGTAAAGCCGGACCTGGAGTTAGAAGCTTCTCCCAGAGACTCCAGCCCCAGAGCCCTTGCCCTGGCACCTGCCACCAGGCTCTTCCGCCTTTGCCCCCTCCCCTACCCTCCCCTCCGAGCTTGCTGACTCATGTGGCCTCGGCAGTGCGGTGCTGCCTGGAGTGGGGCGGGTCGCTCCTACTTCTCTTCTTGGTTTTTATAGCTGCACTAAGAAGATCTGCACACCCCTCTCGAAATGTTTCCCCGGCAGAAGCACTCCCAGGGTCTCCTGTGAAAAGCAGAGATCTCCAGGTCTTCTCCTGGAGAGTGGGTGCCAGTAGGGCTGGGGGAGGGGCCTGGCAGTCCCTTTTTTTCTCTGGAGTTCTGTGGACCCATGTGGCCAGGCAGGTTGGGGAATCATTGCTTGAGGAGATGTTTAGTATATCGGCTGCTGGTCGGTCTGCTAGGGCCTCAGCTTACAATTATGGTCAGTCTGCTGGGGCCTCAGCTTACAATTATACTCTCCAGTGTTATTTTTACTATGAGCTCCTTTTAAAAGATACCATCAGAGGCCACAACAGAAGCCACTTGAGCGTCTGGTTTCTCTAGCAGCTTTCCCATGGTGTCTCCCTTGTAATGTAGAAGAGAATTGACCCTCTTCAGGGTCCTCTGTATAGGAAAACGAGGAGAGAGTTTACTGTTTGAGACAGTTTTGGAAGATTTCACAGAGACTAAAGCAGAGAGTGTGGTATGCACTTGTCAGCTCATGGCCAGTCTCGTTTCAGCTCCACCCTTCCTGGGCCTCCATCTGGATTATTTCAAAGCAAATCACAGACATCATCTAAAAATATCTCAATATGTCTCTCTAAAAGATAAGAGACTCTTGAAACAAAAAACAAACAAAACCAAACCACAATACCATTATCACTCTTAAAAAGTATCTATAATTTTGAGCCGCTTTTTTTTCTGTGCACTATTCAGACAGGTGGAAGGAAAAGCAAAGCAAGCAACTTGTCCCCAAGGTCAGTCCCTGTGTTTGAAACCTATCTGGGCATTCAGGCTCAGAACCAGCCAGTCACCTCTGCTACATGCGTGCTGGCAGCGGGGCTCAAGCCTTGGGAGAGACCTGGGAGAACGTGCAAAATAGGAAGCCACCTGGCCTTTGAGTGGAGGGCTTTTCTGCTTTGATGCAGGTGACAGGACGCCTCCCCATACACACACAGTTTATACGCACATCAGAAACAGATGAGATAGTTGAGTGGTGAGGAGGGTGCACAGACGCCGATGACTTCTGGGGTGTTGAGGGCTGTTCTTAGGGCCCATTTTGTAGGAGAGAAAACTATTGAAGAAAGAAGAATGCAATTCTAATCCTCTCCTTACAGCTCACAAATTCAGCTTGATTTAAGAGCCCAATAGGGCTACACGTTTTTTTTTAAAAAAAGCATGTGAGGGATATAATGTCTGGAATTTGCTGGAATTGGGTGGGGTAGTATGGGAACAGGAACACCAGGGAGTTGGTGGTTCTTGGGTATGGGTGATGGGCATAGGACATTTCATGATACTATTCTCTCTACTTTGGTGATGCTTGAAAATTAGCTATCATACGAAGTTTAAAAAGAAAGGCCTGTTAGATTTTTTTGAACTGACTCTTAGGTTTTTGGGATGGAGGTAGGCATGGAGAAAGGGCCAAGAGAGGGATTTTTGTTGTCTGAGTGTTTATTTTTCCCCTTCATCTGTCTTTATAGAAACACTGCTCTGTTTCCTCTGGTAATTTCTTTTACTTACTCATTGACTTTTAATTTTATGAAAAAGTAATATGCATTACATGGTTAAGAAAAAAACCTCTAGGCCTGCATTGTCCAATAGAAATAGAATGTGAGCCACATATTTAACTTTAAATTTTCCAGTAGGCACATTAAAAAAGGTAAAAAGAAACCTATGAATCTATTTAACCCAATACATATAAAATATTACCATTTCAATATGGAATGTCAAAAACTATTGAGATATTTTACTTTCCTTTTTCTCATACTAAATCTTGGAAATCGTGTGTGTGTTTTACACCTAGGGACATCTCAGTTTGGTTTAGCCACATATACATGCTCAAGTATCACCTGTGTCTAGGGGCTGCCATATTGGACAGTACAAGAGAGAAGTAAAACGATAGCTCTCTCTTCTGACCTCCCTCTGACCTCTGGCCATCAGGTCTACTCCCCAAGGGCAACCACTGTTACCAGTTTCTTTTATATCCTCCTGAGCGCCTCCAAGCACATATAGCACAAGCAAATTAAATATTGTTTATCCCCCACTCTCTTACATAAATGGAAATTTTCACATACGCTCTGTCACACCTCACTTTTCCACTTAACAGCACGTTTTATTCTGTGGATGTTCTGATGATGTTAGGCTTTGGGGGAGAATCTTGCCAGGTAGACCTTCTTACCCAGGTGTCAGGCTCAAATACCCATACTCAGAAGTACATTTGACTCCTAGGCACAGTGAACCTTAAGGCACAGGTACCTCCCTTTAGATTTCATACAGTGGCCAGAGCATAGGTGTGATATCTTTAAAGCCACGGCAGCGTCCCAGGACTGAAGAACTGGTGTGTGTGGGGGCTGGCGGCAAGGCCTAGCCCAACTTGATAGGATCCCACCAAGAGCAGATCTGACTCTCAGGGGTCCTGGCAGGGTGCACCTCAGGTGGAAAGTCTTGGTAACTCTTAGCTGCTGCCCCCCCCAAAAGACCTCATAGTGCCTGGTCACAATCGCCTGGGTTTGTTTTGGGGCTGGTGCTTCTTCTCACCAGCACTTGCCTGCTTTGGAAGGAACTCTCTTCTTTTTTCCCTGGTGATATGCACATTGGAGAACACCTAGTTGTGGCCCTGTGACATTGTATATAAACAAACCACATCACTCTGAGCTGAATAGGACCTAGGGAGGTACTTTCCTTATAATATCCTTGTTCGTTGCTCCTCTGTTTGTCTCTGCTCACATTTTTGCTTATGGCCGAGGGGAACTTGCTGCAAAGTGCAGTGTTATTTGCTGGTAACCCAGCCAGCAGAGCAAAGTCTTTGGATTTGGTGTTCTACAGTCTCTGAGTCAGGCTCCCTCCCTCTTTTGTTTCAGCCAATTCTTCCCGGACTATCCTGGATGCAAATGAAGAGTTTAAGTCCATGTCAGGGACCATCCAGTTGGGACGGAAGCTTATCACAAAATATAATCGCCGAGAGCTGACGGACAAGCTTCTCATTTTCCTTGCCCTGGCCCTTTTCCTTGCTACGGTCCTCTATATTGTAAAAAAGCGGCTCTTTCCATTTTTGTAAGATCTAGAATTACCAGCTTTTGCCCTTTAAGTTCCAGTGTCAGGATCTGTCCATGCTCCTGAGCTCTGGCCCCAGCTGCCAAACCATTGCACACCTCTGTGGCCTGCTCCACTTGCTCAGCAGGTGGATTGCAGACCCAGCCCCCCAGCTTTCTGTAGGCAGCTGGTTAGCCTATAAAGGGCGAGTAGAGCAAGGGGAGGCCTGTCATCAGGACACCTGCAGGACACAGGGACTCCAGGAGCCATCACACAGTGCGTGTGGCTGTCACATGGGGCATGCAGAGGCCAGCCTTCAGGATTGGATCCTCCTCTCTCCCCTTCTCCTGCTGTAGCCTTAATGCCAGATTTGGTGGAAGGAGGAGAGAAGTGGGGAGAAGGATAAGGAAAACTTAGGCCCGTTCCTTGAATAAACTTGACTCTCTATTTAATAGAATGAAATGCATGTGGATTTATAATGTGTCCTTCTAGGAATTTGTGTCCTGTTTTTGATGTCCAGATTTCTAGAACATCAACTTAAGATCATTTATTTGTTTATTCAACAAAGGATTATTAAGCAACAGCCACATGCAATGTATTATAAGACGTTGCTGACCGTTACAGCAGCTGTAAAGCTGCTGTGGTTCCTCCCTCACGGAGCAAGAAGAACAAGATCTCATAGGCTCTTAAAAAAGCAAGTTACAAAAAGCCCCCACGGGAGGTGGCTGACACCACATCTGAAAAGGCTCAGGCAGACATCCTTCTCTTTCTATGTACAGTGGTGGGCCTGGCCTGGGGGTGTGCCGTGTCTTGGGGGCTGGCCCATGTCTTTCTCTTTGAGGTCCAGAGCTAAATATAACCATGAGAGTGAGCCTAGTGATAAGCTGAGGCCTGTCTGGGCCTGAGTTCTGTTGAGGCCTGGGGGATGCTAGGGCTCAGGCTGGGAGATGTTAGTGTCTCCTTGTGCTGTAGGACTGGCTGGCCTCATGAAATCCCAGCCTCCCCACTATTTATAGCCCCAGAGGCCCTGGGAGGTGTAGTGTGGAGGCAGAGGGGAAAGTGGAAAGAACATGGACTTTGAACCTTGGTTTTGAGTCTTGGCTCTACTACTAAGGGACCATGTGACCATGGGCAGGTTACCTTTTGTCACTGAGCCTCAGTTTCCCCACCTGTAAAGTGGGGATGATAGTCCATACAGTCCTTTGTAGAGTCAATAGGAGAATCAAACAAGAATGTACAGTAACAAGTGCAGCTTCTGTCTGACTGGACAGTGGGCTTCCCAAATGGGGCCCCCTCCAGGACTCTGGGCCCTGAGGTTTCCTGCAGCGAATGGGCTTTAGTGAAAGCTGGCCTGGGCGTCGGAAGTTCTGTTAGATCAGCTTGAGCAGAGGGAGGGTGTGAACAGTTACGGCTTCAGTTAAAAAGTCCGGATTGTCATGGGACCAAGTGTGTGAGAGATTGGCTGCACACCTCTGACTAGTTTAATGAGCAGGTTCTAAGTTAAAGTGTGTGTGTGTGTCCTTGTACACACACGCTTCTATATAGATATCATTCTTAAACAATTTCTGGACTCAGAAGACGGTGCAAAATGTGTATGCATGTGTCTTATTTATAGTCAAATTAAAGCTGAGAATAAAGCACAGATGGGAAATTCCCACTCAGATTCCAGCTGTAAGTGCAGCAGATGGATGTTATCAATTTAGGATTTTCTTGTCTTAACATTTTTCTTTACTACTTCCCACTAATTGTCAACATCCTCCTTACAATATGGGAATGTGTGGGCTCTGTACTCCTTAAAAAAATCTCCCTTTGACTTTATTCTTCTTTAACTTGTTTCCTTCTGCAAATAGGTTGAATTTGAAGTGCCATCAATAGCATTATATCTTGCAGCCCCAGTCAGCCAGCCACCAGGATTCAAAATGATCCCCAAGTGGGCTGGCTGGGCAGAAGCGGCCGCCGCCATGTTCATCCGTGAGGGGGCAGTGTTCACATTTGCTCTATGATCTTGCTGTGTTTAGGACTCTCTATCAGTCCACATGGAATGTTCTTATGGATTTTTTTTTTTTTTTCAGATACCAGACTTTAAAAAAAAAGGCCATACAAATGTACAAAGTCCACCTATATAGTTTTTGGAGGATGTTTCATAAATGATTTTAATTCTCACTGTTAACAGTAACGTAAACGTGTATTCTACATTTTGCTTAGATGAAGGTCAAGGAGCTAAAAGGACAGAGCATCTGGCAAGAGGTCGTTCATTCAAGTATTTACTGAGCACCTACTTTGTACCAGGCGCTGCGTTAGGTACACTCAGTGAACAAAACTAAGATTCCCTGTCGTCATGGAACTTATAATATGTGGGGGAGGGTGGGCAGATGATAAACAATTAAGATACTAAATAAGTCATTCATTCTGTTAGAAAATAATTTTTTTACGGAAAAGTGAAGCTGGTTAATGGAGATCTGGAATATAGGTGAGGGGATAGGTTTGCACTATTAAGTAGGGTGGTCAGAGCTGGCCTCAATGAGGAGGTAAGATCTGAGCAAAGGCCTGTTGAGGATGGAGATACCTTAGCCATGTGGACTGCTGAGGGAGGAGGGTTCCCCACAGGGGCCAGCTAGAGCTAGTGCAAAGGCCTACAGTGGGAGCATCTGCGATACTGTGATTTATTGTCAGAAATATGTATTTGGTGTCCCCGGTCCTGGCACAGAGCTGCTAAAGCCCTTGGACTTTCCTACAATGAGAGTGATAAAGGTTTCTTTTGTTATCTTCATGGGCCATTTTTGGAAAGCACTAAGGATGGGGGCTGGTTGCCTGGGCCTCAGAGGAGGGGAGGGGGCTGGAGATTGAGTTCTGTCACCAATGGCCAGTGATTTAATCAATCATGCCTATGTAATGAAGCCTCCACAAAACCCAAAGGGAGGGGCGCCTGGGTGGCTCAGTCATTAGGCGTCTGCCTTCGGCTCAGGTCATGGTCCCAGGGTCCTGGGATCGAGTCCCACATCGGGCTCCCTGCTCAGTGGGAAGCCTGCTTCTCCCTCTCCCACTCCCCCTGCTTGTGTTCCCTCTCTCGCTGTGTCTCTCTCTGTCAAATAAATAAGTAAAATCTTTAAAACAAAAAACCAGAGGGACTGGGTTCAGAGATCTTCTGGGTTGGTGAGCACATGGAGATCGAGGGAGGGTGGTGCACTTGGAGAGGGCATGGAAGCTCTGCGTTCTTTCCTCATGCCTTGCCCTGGCATCTCTTTCATCTGTCTGTTCCTGAATTATATCCTCTTGTAATAAACTGACAATCTAGTAAGTAAAACGTTTCCTTCATTTCTGTGAACCTCTCTAGCGAATTAATCAAACCCGAGGAGGAGGTGCTCATGGGAACCTCCCATCTGGGCCTGTTAGTCAGAAGCCCCTGTGACAATCTAGACTTGTGATGGGCAGCTGAAGTAGGGGTGGAGGGGTGGGGTCGCAGTTTTGTGGGATTGAGCCTTTAACCTGTGGGAACAGATGACCATGTGCGTAGTGTCCGAATTGAGTTGAATTAGAGGACACCCAGCTAGAACTGATTGTTGGTGTGGGGAAAAAATCCATACGTCAGAAATGCATCCATGCATGCACTGGAGCATGACTGATGGGGGAATAGCAAGGAAGCTAGGTTAGAGCAGAGTGTGGGGAGTGGTAGAGAAGTAGTACAGGACATCAGAGTGGGAACAAAATCATGAGAAGCCTTGTAGGTCATTGGAATGATTGAGCTTGTACTTTGAGGAACATGGGGAGCCACTGGAGCAGAGGAGTGACTTGATACGACCTACATGTTGGTAACAAAGTGAACGAGACAAGTGCAGAGCAGAGTGGCCAGTTGGGAGGACCATTGCAGATGTCCAGGTAGCAGATTGACGGTGGCTTATACCTGGCGGAGCAGTAGAGGTGGTGAGAAGTAGTCATATTCTGGATATATTTTGAAGATAGAACCAATAGGATAAGGTTTCATGAAGGAATGGGTATCATTCTTGAAGGAATGAGAGCCAAAACTAGAAAATTCCTTTTTTTAAATTGTCCTTTTATTTTTAAGTAATCTCTACACCCAACATGGGGCTTGAACTCACAACCCTGAGATCAAGAGTCACATGCTCTACCAAGTGAGCCAGCCAGGCGCCCCAAAACTATGAAATTCTTGGCCTATGTAACTAAAGGAGGAGAAGATCAGGAGTTGGGTTTTGGACATGTTGGACTTGAGATGTCTACTTAGACCCCCTAGTCAAGATGCCAGGTACACAGGTGGTTATGTGTGAGTCTGGGGTTTGGGAGAGCAGTCAGGGCTCGTGGTATAAATTTGGAAGAGGGCGTGTAGATGGGATTTAAAGCCATGAGGTTGGATGAGCTCGCCCAGAGATTTGAGTTATATAGATAAAGAACTCACGACAAAAAAGAGGAGCCAGCACATGAGACTAAGGAGGAATGCCCAGAGACAGAGCCACTGTTACCAGTGAGGCTTCTTAGGGAGTCTGTTCTTTTAATCCCCCAAATAGGAGACTTTCTGATCTACAAGAGTCTGTGTTTTTCATCCTTGTCTTCATCGTTGTCATCGTCACTCTCATCATCAAAAGCATCTACTGTTTGTTGAGTTCCGGCTGTGTGTTAGATCCCTGAGGACTGCACATAAATGCAGTTCCCTCTTGCCTTTCAGGACAGCACAGAATGACAGTGGTGCCCCTGTGCTGGCTGTCATAGGGGACCTGTGGAGGGAGGGAGCATTCCTCTGTGACAGCACGGGGAAGGTTGTGCCTTCACCCTTGAGCCCTGCTCTGTCTTCTCCCCTTTACTGCTCAACTTCTGTGACACGGTCTGTGTCCTCGCCTCCCACGTCCTGGGCCACTTAAGTCTGATTGCTGCGACAGTCCCACTCTCTCATAAACAAGCCTCCCTGGGGTCATCAGTTACCTCCAGGCTGTTCATCTGAAGGATGTCTGCCCCCACCTACCTCATCCTTAGCAGTTGTTGACCATGGTGGGCATTGTTCCTCCCAGAAACCTGTTTCTGTGATACCACACTCTAGGTTTTCCTCTTGTTCTCTGGCAACTCCTGCTCACTCTTCTTTCTTCATCTTCTCTTCAGCCTTAAGTGCTGGCTTACCAGAGCTTCTTCCCTCTTCTATGTATTCCCTCACAGGCAAGGTCATCCTTCTTCCCCCCCCGCCCCCCCCCCCCGCCCAGTTTAACAATCATCTAGAGAATCACTATCAATAATTTCAAAGTTCTGTCTCCATGACAGACTCTCAGGTGAGCTCCAGATCTCTATCATCTCCAACCTTCTAGCATCTCCATTCAGATGTCTCTGTCTGTGAGACTCCTCCACTTCAGGAGGGACCTCTCCCTCCCAGGCACAGCCTGGCTCTTCTCCAGCTTCCCTGTCTTCCCCGTCTTCCCTGGCACACCTCGTTTCCCCTCCCGGGCTTCCTTTTCCCTTCACCA